GTGGACCACAGTGTGTCAGGGACCAAAGCAAAGTGGGTTCTCCCCAGGAGTTCACCAGCCTGTGAGCAGGCCTGTCCGTGCTAAAGTTCAGGTACCAATGGAGCACTGTGGTGTTGGTTGGTATGTGGCTACTGAGGGACCAAAGGCATTGAATGGTTCAAGGACTGGTGTCTACTCTGGCTCCAAAGGAATATTAGCTCTGTGGGGAAAGGTGGGGGATGATGGAAAGGTAGAATTCAAAGAGAATTCCTTAAGGAGGACTGAAAGCCACCCTTGCTTTTCATGGTTCTTGACTCCTGCATTACATGATCTCTCCCATTTGGGGAGGAGGGGAAAAGATTCTTGTCACTGTAGTCTAACCCCAAAATTATGAGGAGAGTTGTAGAACTAGCTGTGACCTCTCCCCCTACCTGTAGGTTGGCAGTTGGGTTGGGCTGGACTTCCAAGGAGACATTTAGGGTTTATCCATGGGAGAGCTGAGGCCTGTGATTGGATATGTGCATGTGTGTATAGTGATTGCCCTCTGGGCTTTTATCAGGTTTATCAGGAACCCAAGCAGATGCACTTCAGTAGGAGCTGAGCTGCATCTCTCTGACCACTTATCTCAGGAACTTTTGAGGGGTAGGTGGATTGTGCCTGGGATTGAACTCAGGAACTCGACACATCCCCAGCCCTGTTTTTTATTTTATTTAAAGACAGGGTCTCACTGAGTTGCTTAGCACCTCTTTTGCTGAGTTTGGCTTTGAACTCATGATCCTCCTGCTTCAGCCTCCCAAACCACTGGGGTTATAGGCCTGTGCCCTGTGCCCGCTGGGAATACAATTTTAGTGAGACTTTGCTTCCCACAGACCTGAACTCCCATCAGATGAATTCTGTGTTCCTTTCCCCCAGGAGCGAATCCGTCTAGCTCGACAGATTGAGAAAGCCGAGTACCGGAACTTCCAGGCTTGTCTGCACAACTCTTGGATTGAGCAGGCAGCAGCTGCCCTGGAGATTGAACTGGAAGAAGAGATGTATAAAGGTAAGTCCTTTGGGCTGGATGGGAGTTAAGGAAGGATTCAGCTTTTCCTTTTATCCCTCAGCTTTTGCCTTGTCAGAACCATCTATACTGCTGTGAGCCCTGTCAGAATCAGCAGAGCCCTTTCCTCCTTTGCTGGTGGTCCCTAATCCCAGATGAACTGGATGTCCTTGGCCTGTCTGTTCCTGTCTCGCCTGTCTGGAGCTCTAACTGCCTGCGTCCTGCATTGGACATGCATAGTGCAGGGATCAGGCCCTCTCATCACGCAGCCCATGTTTGCTCCCAGCCCATTCCCTTAACTGACTATGTGACCAGTCAAGCCTCTCTGCTGTATCTTACTTTCCTCATCTATAAAATGGAGGTAATAAACTACCTCATAGGATTGAAGATTGATTAAGGAGTATAAAGTGTGTATAACAGAGCCTGGCAAACAAAGTCTATGATACTTCTTAAGTTATATTTATCATTATTATTACTACTATACCTATCTTCCACACTGACAAAGCATTTCTGTGTCACCATCTCCTTTGATCTTGTCCACAAGATTCATGGCATGAATAAATCAAAATTACTAGAGGCTCACAGAGGGGATTTGTGTTGTGAAACAGCTTCCCCACCAGCAGTGCCTGAGCCCCCTCTATATGGATTCAGACTGTGGGTCTGCACAGTCCCTGCTTAGGAAAACTTTGGAGTCTCAGAAGCAGAACCGCATCTAGAATTAATGGCACCAAGGTTCCTTCCATCCCATCAAGGATGCAGCTGATCTGAGTTGATGGCATCCTAGTGTCAAAGGCCACAGCTTCAGAAACAAGCTTACTGCTGTCCTTTCATGGAAGCCAGGAACCAAAGCATTGGTTGTGATGACAACAAGCAAGTTCTTGTAGTTCAGGCCTGGGGTTTAGGTGAAGGTGTGGAGGCCCTGGCCTTCCCTTCTGAGGACATAACAGGGATAGAGTCCTTTGGCTAGGCCCACCTCTGCACATGCAGTCCCAGCACTGGGTGAGGTGCAGGAGGGCCAGGCTGCAGAGAAATATTCACTGACTCCTGAGGGATTGGTGGTACCAGTCATGTTGCCATGCCCCAAATGGACAGTAAGTGGAGGCAGAAAGGAAGCCGATCTGCCGCTGGAGTCTTGCATTCTGGTCTGTTTGACAGCTAGCTCTGTTTCCGTAGGCAAGTGACCCCTCTAAATCCAAGCAGCCTTTTCTGTAAAATGAAGATGATTTCTTTCTTAGAAGGGTTTTATAAGGAATAAAGGACAGGGTGGTCCTGTGTATTCCTCCTAAACAGAAGTCCACACTATTCACAGATCCAATCAAGCCAACTTGCCTCCCTAAAAGATTCTGGAATCTTTTTTTTATTGTATTATCCATTGAAGGAAACATGCTTCTGTGCATCCTAGTAAATATGAGCTTGTTTGTGTTCCCTCTAGGAGGAAAAGCAGACGAGCAAGAAGAGCGTAGGCGACAAAAGCAGATGAAAGTCTTGAAGAAGGAGCTTCGTCACCTGCTCTCCCAGCCATTGTTCAAAGAGGACCTGAAAACCAAGTATCCCACTCAGTCTGGCAGACTGCCCCAGCTCACAGCTGCCCCAAGGACTGGCGAGTCGGCACTGAGCTGCCTCTCCAAACAGAAGAAGAAGAAGAAGAGGCCAAAAGAGCAGCAGCAAGGACTGCCGCAGCCAAGTACAAGTGCAGAGTAACTGCCCCTGGTCAGTGTTGGTGTCTGCACATGGTGTCTGTTCTCTGGTTGTATGTGAAAAGCTTCTTCCCACCCTTGTGCTTCACTCAGTGCTTCACTCAGTTTCAATCCATTAGGAAAATTTCCTGCTCTTTCCCCATAGCAGGAGGGGTCTCAGGCAGGTTTACATTGTTTTGGAGTAAATCCTGCACAGCAGCTTGTTGTTCTGTATTCCAGTGTATACAGGCTTCTTATGTGTTACAGGCTTCTTTGATTTCCTGAATTAAAAACAATGGTCAGAGACAGAATGTCTTCTTATATTTGTAGCCAGAAAATGGGGTGTGCGGTTTCCTAATTAACTTAGTGGTTCCCCTGGGTCAGCACAGTGCTAGTTCCTGGAGAGGGTGGAACCGTATCGTAGGCCTTGGCAGCTGGTCACTGGAGTACATTGCTCTAAGACCTCAGCACGTATTCCTGCCCTTGGCCATAGCGGCACCCTACCAGCCACCTAGCTCTGGGCCATTCCCTGCTGGCCATTGCTTGTCTGAGCTGCCCTGTAAGGTGGGCACAGCAGAGGTTGCTGTCCTAAGGCTTCCTCCCATTGCAGAGCTAAGTCATGATTGGCTGGGTCAGGAGCAGGAGGCCCCGGGATCTTACTCAAGCCTTCATTGATAGAATGGACTCCTGCCAGATTCCACATACACTTCATTTTGTCCCAAGCCATTTTACAAAACAGCTTTCCCCTCAACCTGGATGCCTGTGTACTCTCCACCCTGCTGTGTGTCCTCCAGGAGCAGCAGTGCTCTCCCTGCAGTGCACTTTAGTGCCCTGGTCCCTCCTCAGAGCACCTGCTGTAGCATTCCCTGGGCTGAGGTCCAGGGCGACTGGGCCCTTGAGGCTTGCATCAGACCTGGTGTAAATTTGTGCTGAGGGAACGAATGTCCTGGTACTGTCCCAGCTTTGCCCGGGGTCATTCCCTAGGGGAGCACCCATAGCTGCCACAACATAGGAGGAGCACAGATCTCTGCACAGCTCATCTGGATGTTCACACAGAGCACACCTGCTTGGTCCACGGGGCCCTATGGGTTTGAAGACGGTACACAAGAGGACCCTGGCCTCCCTCAGCCTCGAAAGTTTGGGAGGATGGCAGCAGGATTCCCTGAGCCCCTCTGGATAAATGACAGGACACTTGGCCTTGTGTCTGAACAGATTCAGGTAGCACTGTCAACTAAGTGCCAGCTGTTATTAGATGCTTTTTATCTATTTTGATTATCAGTTCAGTTTTCCTCAAGGCCAAGGCAAAGCTTAAGTGAGGAATCTGAGGCTATGCTCAGGGCCACACAATAGCCAAGTGGGATTAGAACCGGAGAGCATCTTCCCTCTGGACACAGGGCAGGTTCAGAAAACTGCTTTTTTTCTTGGGAAACAGCAGTGTCACCAGGGAATACACCTTCCTGGCTCCCAGTGTCAACTGGTGACCTGAGCAGGAGGAGAAAGCGCCCCTTTGTGGGAGGTCATCTCCTGACATGTGCCAGAGAGCAGGAGAACTCCACTCTCCAAATGAGGCAGACAGAGTCAATGGGGTCAATAAGCAGGTTTAAGGTGCCTGAGGAGCACCTGGGCCATGGGAGGCCTAAGGCCATTGTCATAGGCTAGACATAGATTCTTGAGAGACCCAGCTTTCCAGGCTGTTCTCTCAGCTGGTGTGGAGAGGTTTGGGAGAGATCATGTGGGCAGAGCCTCCCAAGTGTCCTGGACCACCCATTAAATAAGGAACATTCCTCCTGCATAGTTCACTCCAATACAGAGCCCTGTAGCAAGGTGGTATAGCCCTTGGGGACATGCCAGGTACTCAAAATAAAGAAGCTGGGACAAAAGTTGTTTATGGAAAACATTTTAATGTTAGGAAACTTTTCACTGGCTGCCCAGGGAAGCAGCAGGGTATGACCTCTGAGCATTCACTGGGCCACAGCCCCTGCCTCCCACTACTGCTCATGGTGGCAGTGTGTTGGCTTAGACTTGTCTGATGGTTCCCCTGACGTTCCTACTGTTGGGGAAGCCACAGTCACTACCAAGGTGGCAGGTTTCCCCATCTAGCAGTGCTCTGCTCCCTGTGTCCCATGGGTAGAGCACCGACAGGTCGGGTGTTTTCATATACGTGATCTCACCACTGTGATACCTGCTGTCTCTCTTGCAAATGTGAGGATGAGCTCAGAGAGGTGAAGAGACTTATCAAACAACACAAGTGATGAGAGGCACAGCTGGGATTTGAACCCAGGTGTCAGGTTTTAGAGCCCTTTCATTTGTGCTTAAAAAGGAAACCAGCCCAAAGCATGCACACTGCTCCTCCTGTTGCTAAATAGTTCCCTTCAATTATTTCCTCTGGGAAAAAAGCATACACATGCAGTTGTAATTCACACCCTAAAAGCAACTTCCTTCCAGCATTTGGTCTGGAAAGAGGCGGCTCTGTGGGGACAGCAGGTCACCCAGGAAGTGGGGGTGCCAACCTGACACCACTCAGACAAACCAGGTGACCACATGGCTTCCTGAGTCTTGCCACGCCTCTTCCTCCCCAGTTCTTTCCCTGAGACAAAGGTCTGAGGGAAGATGTGGAGGCAATGAGGGCAGGTGGTTTGAATTTGGCTGGTGGGTTTATGTAAAAGGAGAAAACCAGAGGATACGACCACGGAGATGACATGACCTGCTTCTGCCAGACTGTGGGCATCCTGATCCTAACTGGCTGATTCTCTCCTAGAAAAGGGCCCAGTGCAGCTCTGTGCGGCTCACCTGACCTTGGCCTGGAAGCCAAGGTCAGGTGAGCCACACAGAATATCACAGCCACAAAAGCAGTGAATTGGTAGCTAGGGCTGGCTTCTGCTGTGCTTAAGAGCTCAGCTGGAGTGCCCAGGACCCATCTCACAACCCCCTGGAGCGGCCCGGGTATTAGCCAGCATCGTGTGTTCATCAGTGTGGAAAAGGACACCCTGGGATCTTGTCTGGCAGATGATACCAGAAGATACACCGAGTCTTGTGGTACTTGTCTTGGGTACTTGTCCTACCCAGAGAAGGTGGGTTACAACAAATATAGAGATGACAGTCAGGTGGCATCCTGTGAAAGAGGGACATAATCACTTAGCTTGAGCCCGTGGGTCCAAATGCCAGTGAAGGACAGTGGGAACCAGGGTCCACCTGGAACTAAAGCACCCTAACTCTGAGAGTGCTGCTGGCTTTCATCAAGGCAAGAGTGATACAAATGTGACGATTGTGTCAAGACTTAGGAGTCTGCTGCCCAGTCCTGCATAGACTGTCGCAGACCCCCTCAGTAGCACCAATATATTCTAACAAATCCCTGCACAATGAAACCTGTGAGAAAATGGCCTTCCATTAAATAGGGACCCCAGAAGGTGATTCTACACCCTCTGTCTCCCTGTAATCCTGCAGCAAACAGGTGGTTGGCAGCACCGCAAACCAGCCAGTGTCATTACGCTCCACTGCCGGGGCGTTGCCTGCCAGCCTGGGGGGGACTCATAGGGGTCCTGGGGCAGCAGGGCGAGGAGCTTCGTAAGTGGGGGGCATGTCCAGGTGGACGAGTGAAGAAGCTGCTAGCCAGGGCTGTCAGGCCATCTTCACCAAGGAAATCTCCTGCCAGCGTCCACAGCTGCTCTTCTGTTCTCTCCCACCAACCCCTTGTCAGGCCATAAAGAAAATGGGTGAGAGGAAGGAGCCAAAGACTGCCTTGCAAAATGACTGTTCATCTGGAGTCCACAGCTGCAAGCTCCCCTTCCTTGATGTAATCTAGGACTTACTGGGGCTGGCAGGACACTTGTGGCTTCCTAGTCCCAGCCATGCACACACAGATTTGGGTGCAGACCCTAGACTTCATCTAGTCTTTAAAAGCCAGGCTGTTCTCCCCTGAGAGGTAGAGGGACTCCAACAACCTGAGTTTCATTCTGAAGGCTAAAGGCCCTTTGCCGGACTTTGGTATAAAAGTCTCTCTTTCTCTGTAAGTGAAGGGTGGGAAAACAGGCCCATCATGAATGGAAGGAACCACAAGGAAGCCCTCACCTTCAGTCAGCCTGACAAGACTGGACTGACCTTGACAGCTTCAGGTCAATCACCAAGTCAATAGCTGACTTGAGGTTTGCCTCCTGGACCTGGCAAGGAGAAACACGAGTTCCTTGTTTTTACACAACAGAATGTCCACACTGGCAGGAACCTCCTCCAGATGAACAAACAGGTCCAAAGAGGGCAGGTGACCCACACAGGGTCTCACGGTTACTGGCTGGCATGCGGAGCCAGGGATCCTGGCTTTCTGGCCCAGAGTTAGAAGGTATTTGGTCCTTCATAAAATAAATACAAAAAATACACGAAGTTACCACCATCCATAGTGGGCAGGCCTCATTCCCATGGCTCTGCCCAAAAGGCTGTACATGTTCTAGTTAGAGTCCAAATCGCTTAAAAAACTGAAAAGCCGGCATGTTCCATTTAGAGTGCAGTCCCGTGAGGTGAAGGTTCCACTGCGTGGCCTAAAATTAATCAATGTTTATCAGCTGCATAGAGGATGTTGTAGTGGGATGTTTTATAGAGCAGGTACACGGAAGGGACGGCGGCCTCAGGGAACACGTGGTGGTTCAGGGCGGTGTCCATCTCGTCCACATATTCCACTTGCAGGGCGATGTTCAGCGCCTGGGACAGGGCTGTGATCTGGATGTGGTCACATTCCATGGCCATGGGCTCCACTTCCTGCAAAGCCAAAATGAAAAACAAACCAGCTTAAGAGGGAGGCCCTGTAGAGGACGGGTGGGTTCAGCCTTGGCTCTCTGGGCCACGGTTACAGCCTCTGTGCTGGGACAGGATCTCACAACCATGCGTGAGGTAGGAGCTGACCTCACTACAGAGGAGGCTGAGGCTCTAGAGGAAGCGACTCAGTGGGAGATCACTGGAGCTGCAGATGCGGAATTCCAAATGAGGAATCTGAAAAGGGGGCTGGAACTTTTCAGGTTGTCATCAAAGATTCAGGGATGAAAGGACCCTGTCATCAAAGGCTTCCAGGCCAAAGTGCTCAGGGGGACAGGCCAGAGGGTGGGTGGGTGAGTATCTGAGTCTAGATGCTGACGAGGCCATGGAGAAAGGCAGTAGAGGTGGCAGATGTGTCCCACAGAGAGGCCAGCTGCTACTTAGGGCCTACTGCTGTTGCCATGAAGAGTTGGGGCCTTGGGCTTGATATTCTGATTTTTTAGAGACATCCAGATATTCATATAAAAATTACCCAATTGTTAAATACTGGCCCCTCCTTCAGAAAAATACACTGTTAACCAAAAACATATCTCGGGGCCAAGGTGACTCTGAGATTTTATAAATAGGCTGGTCCAAAGCCCTGGTTTTCCAGAGGGAAATGCCCAGGTGGGAAAGTGACTTGCCCTAAGTCACCTGGATCAGGCAGCTCCAGGAGGCCCGGGTGCTGCTGTGAACCCAGCGCAATTTGAATTGCAAGTGCAGACCTGACGCCCACCATCCCCTGGCCAGGGACAGTGGTGCTAAAGTTTGCAACAGATGGACAAGTGCAGAGCCCAGGGGCGGGGCTGTGTCCCCAAGACCTGAGACCCTGGGGACCTACATGAGTGCAGAAGTCCTTGATGTCCATCTCCTCATCGATGAAGTGCCGGAAGAAGTCGGCTCGGTTCTTGATGAAGGCTGATGTGAGCAGGCGTAAGAACTGCACGATGTGGTCGGAAGAGCTCTGGTCGTTGAACACCTTGAGCAGGCTGGACACGGAGCCGTCCCTCTCCACCAGCTCCACCACACTGTAAAACTGCACCCCGCTGGCCGTCAGCAGGGGAGACCCAGCAGAACCCACCCAGGGGCTCCCTAGGGGTTCACTTTGAGATTCTCGGGCCGTGGTAGGACAGCATTCTTAGAGTCTGCCAAGGCCAAGCAATGGGGTCAGTGTGTCAGACCAGAGGCGCTGCAAGGGACAGGCACAGGCCCCTCCACCACATGGGCAGGGTTCCTCCACCTCACATTCAGCGTGGCACAGGGCTAGGAGTCCTGGAAGCTGCCCCTTTACTAGTGGATGGGGACAGCAAGGAGGGCAGGGCACTAGGCCCCCTGTGCCCACACATGCCACCAGCAGGAGCAATCCTGAACCTCCCCAGGCCCAGATGGGAGGAGCCAGAGGTCCCAGGCGCAGAGCTGCAGGCCCAGGGCTCAGCAGGGCACTCCTGCCTGCTCCACAGTGTGGAGGGCCCTGGCTCCTCGGCAGCGTGGCCCTGGTGAACTCACAGCATTGAAGAAGTTTCGGAACTTGTGCTCCTCAAAGCCGGCAGCCAGAAGGTCACTTGGAGTCTGTAGGACACGCTCTTTGAACCTAAAGGCCAGTAGACTGGGTGATTACGGGAGAACACAGGGTGCCACCATGAATGACCACTGCTCAGCCCATGCCAACCCCACACACACCGAGGGGGTACAGGAAGAGCACCTGTCCACCTCTCCAAGCACTCCACACTGACCATCTCCTGTCCCCACGTGACCACCCGGGAGGCATCTACCATGCTGCAGTGGAGGAGGTGAGGGACTCGCCCCCCTCTCTCAGAGGCCTGCTGTCCTCCTCCTTGTCTCTGTGGCCCCACCTTCTCACTTCCATGCAACCTGCACTTGCCCCCACCCCCCTCCATGGGGATCTCTGGAGTGACCAACACGCTTCTCTCATGGAATGCTCCTGCTCTGCCCATAGCACACAGACCCCCACACGGATGTCCCTTGGCACCTCACAGGCAACTCAACAGCAAGCCACGGGCCCCCACTGCCATTCCCCACTGGCACGTTCCTCCTGAAGCCCCTGTGACCCTCTGCAGGACACGCCTGAGGGGCTGCCAGAGCTGGTGTACACCCACTCGMGAGGGCTGAGTTTGCAGCCAGGTGTTCACATGGTCATTATTAAAACCCAAACGGCATAAACTTACGATGAAACACCACATACTAAAAAACAAAGAGGACAAATACTCAAAGGTCATCATTCTCTAATTATCTGATGTCACCTATACTCATGAGGTCACGGGCCTACTGTGTCTGGTGGGCACACAGTAGGGACTACCGTGTGTGGTACCTTGGTTTCTTCCCAACTCTTTGCTGGTATTTACACCACAGAAATTGGCCAACTCCATGGATGGGGTCCCGCCCCACCCCCACCCTACAGCTATTAAACCCTTGACAGGACCTGGTCACCGGTCACCGTCCATGGTCTTGCTCTGAGTCTGCTCCTTTGTGGAGCCTCTCACACTGAGCCTGCCTGGCACCTGCCATGATGCTGGCGGGGGCAGAACAAGGAACCCCTGCCTGACCCCTGGCTCCAAGACACACAGAGCTGACAGCAGGGACWAGACACAGAACCAAGGAACTGCAGGCTGTGGGGGAAGGGCTGCGTGCCACGCAGGGACCGAGTGAAGGGCACACGCGGCCCCCATGCCATGCTCAGTTCTCCAGCCCAGCAGCCTGTCCCCTGGGAAAGCTGACAAGGACCTGGGGAGCAGAAGGCGTCACAAGAGCCTGCCACTGCTGGAGAAGCCGCGAGCTGGGCAAGGCCTGGAGAGTCTCGGGGAGGGGGAGCTAAAACAGGAGTGGGCGTTCCTGCCAAAGGCGTCCTGGTCACTTCCAGGCTGCGCACACCTGAGACCCTGATTTGACCAGGAGGTGCCGCAGGGGAGGGCACAGACACAGAGCTGGATTCTGCCCACAGCTCCCCAACTCCATCAAGCTGTGGCCTCAGGCCCCGTCTGCACACACGTGGGCGCCTACAGACCTCCGCTGCAGGCTGCGTGAGGACAGGACTTTCTACTGCTGTGGCTGCTGTTGCTCTGCCCACCAGCACCCCCTCCAGTCAGGTCCCAGGGGGACTTGAGGGTCTGACCTGCAGCAGCCTCATGGTGGCCCCTGCCTGTCCCCAGCTGTGGCCTGGGCACTGGCAGCGCTCCAGGAGGCCGCTGCAGCTCTCTGGGTCCACACATTTTGTCCTGGCAAGGCCAGAGCACACAGCTCTGCTCCTGGATCCCTGCCCCCCACTCCTTCTCCCCTCTGCCCCTGGGCCACCCACCCCTGAGCCCCTGCCTCATTCACTCCTCACCAAGACTGTGGGCTCCTCTCTGCCAGGCCTGGGGCACGTGGAGATGAGTGACCCGCAGGCCTCACTGAGTGGGGCAAACCCTCGGGTTAGCTCCCCATCCGTGTGGGGGTCTCTGTGCCATGGGCCAACAGCATGACAAAAGAGCTGACATGGTGCACGCGTCAGGGTCTAAGTACTCACAGGAGCCGGCCACTTAATGCCCACGACAACAGCAGGCCACCACTCCCTGGGGAGAGGGAATTACAGAGCAGACATGCAGCCTTCCTGGGGCACTATGGACAGGACGGTCAGAGTCGGGCCAGAGCCCATGTCTGGCAGTGTGACAGGTGCAAGCTCCATCATCCTGATGGACCCTTTGCCTGAATGCAGGTGGCAGTAAGGGGTTGGGGAGCCTCGAGGGAGGGTTTCCTGGGCTCCTGGAGGCCTGGATATATTTCCAACAGGGAGTGACTTGATCCCATATTTGTTTATGAAAGAAAATGCTGGTGGCCACTGGGCGCAGGGCCTGTTCCCGGAATACTGGTCTCCTAACACCCCAGTACCTGGGGAGACTCGCACTCGATGGCTCCCAGATGTTTCAGACTTAGCATCACCAAAATGGAGCTCCACAATTCCCTGCCTGCCCTTTGCAGCAATGGCTACTCCAGGCTAGCACAGGGGAGGTGACTGGACCCTGTCTCCAACCACGGGCCACACTCAAGTCCTGCATGAACCTGCAGACGCCACCTTCTCAGATAACTAGAATTGACACTTCCCTCCACGGCCCTTCCCTATGCTCCTCACACCACCATCTCTGTTCTGGACCCCTCCCCAGCCATGCCTCCTGGGCTGTGTCCCCACCATGCCTCCACCTGAACAAAGAGCCAGCAGGTCAGGTCCCCACTCTGCTCAGTCTCTAGGTGGCCTCCACAACATTCAGCTGAAGGCCACAACCCCTAGAAAGGTCCAAGAAGCCTTGTGTGCCCTGCCCCCAACTCTGCTTTGCATTGCACCCAGCCCTGGCTCCTCAGCCACCCTGGGCCTGATTCTTCCCCACGACACTCATCGCCACCAGGCACACCAAACACGGCACCCACATACTTCCATCTCCTCCACAATCTCATTGGCACAAGCCCAACGAGGCAGGGATTTTTGTCTTTGCTCACGACTCTATCCCCAGGCTGGAGCTGGGTCTGCATGTGGTACCTCAGAYGATGACTGACAAGCTGAGGGCTGGCACCCCGGCAGGAACATGAGTGAGGGGAACAGCGCATGTGGAGCTGGCACAGGCTTGGCTAGCATCACCCTGCTGAATGCTCATGGCAACTCTGAAGTGCACTATACTGTCCTCCTTCCCAAATGGGGACACCGAGGCTGGAGAGGTCAGGACCTCTGCGGCATTAGCTTTGGAGGCACCCGGCCAGCTGAATACCTGGTCACACTCACTGGGGCCAGGCCATCAGGGTGGTTCAGAACACCAGGGTAAGCTTCCTCTTCTGTGTTCCTCTCTTGTTGGCCTAGGTCACCAAGTACCCAGCCAATGTGACTCGCCTGGCTTGACCCAGACGTGCARGGGTGCACAGGGCTGCCAAGCTCCTGGAAGGTCGCTGAGCTCTGGGCAGCCCTCGCCTCTACCACAGAGGGCAGCAGGCTCCCCAGCGCCAACAACTCGCCACCCGTGCAGCCCACTAGCTCCCCTTCAGGAGAGCCAGGGCCGACCCAGCACAGAGAACCCAGGGACACGCCACCCACGACCCACTCACTTGAGGATCTCTCTGCTCTTGCCTAGCAGAGACTCCAGGTAGGCATAGCCCAAGGCCCGGTAGAAGCAGTTCCCATCCCCTTTGGTCTTGCGGATTGCGGTGAATCTTTTGCTGAGTTCCTGTGRTCCCGGGAGAGAAGGACATGAGGACATTTGCAGTAACATGTGACAGTGACTTTCCTCCCAGGTAACGCCTACTCGCTCCCTGCTGCCCACCTGCGCTCATTCACAAATGCACAAATACACTGACGTGGCCTGAGTGTCAGGCATGGAGGACCCTGGCCTGTCCCCAGGCAGCCTGCAGTAGGGGAGGTGACAGGCAGCTGAGTGATGGTGATAGGAGGGGTGACTTGGGACAGGGACATCCACACCAACTGCAGTAATCAGGGAGGGCTTCCGGGAGGTGGGAGGTGGCTCCTGTGAGCAGACAGGTATGGGCCAGGGGGTCAGCGGAGCTGCCGGTGGGCACTGGTGCTGCAGGTGGGAGGAAGGGCCTCCTCGATGCACACAGCCATGTGGACAGTCCTGCAGACATTCCTTGCAGGACAGAGGAAGGCCATGCCACTCCATGGGACTCTGCTCCTGGCTGTGAGTGGCCTGGATCCCCTTTCCTATTCCCTGGGGCCGCAGTCAGGGTTCTGCCAGCAAAGCGTGGTTTTCAAGGGGTCAGGAACCCCAGGTCCCATCATAGAGATGGAGAGGCTCAGAGCCTGGGCCACCTGAGAAGGCTGGTGGGGTAGCAGGAAGTGCCTGGCTCCTGCCCCGGGCAGTGCACCCTGGGGAGGCCTGTGGATCTTTAGCCACCCACTGCCACCACCCTGAGCTGCTGAAGGACACCTACCCCATGAGGGAGCCCTTAGCAGCTTGGGTCTACAGAACTACAAGGGTTGGGGGGCTGGGCAGCACTTCCTGTCAGTGCYGGAGCAAGCCCACTCCACCCTGGTGAGAGGAGGGGAGGAATCTGCCCAAGATGAGGGGCTTTGCTCCTCCCTGTCCTTGTCCCCAGAGGGAGCCTCACAGCCCCCAGGAGGCTCCTTTTCCTGAGAGGTCCCCTGGTGCACTGGTTTTGAATACGACCCGGGAAATCAGGCTGCCCAGTCCAAATTCCAACTCGGCCGCTCAGGAGCAGGTTCTGACGGTGCCCTGGCTTCCCCAGCTGTAAAGTGGGGACGCACAGTCCCTGCCCTCAGCAGTGATGAAGCTTAGTGAGCGAACTGGGCACCTGGGATAGTGCTCAGCTTTTAAAACAATGTCTTTTAAAAAAACCAAACACACAAACAACAAAACAAGGAATGGATTTCTTGCTGAATAATCTGGAGTGTTTTAATCGGCCCAGGAACCCAAGCTAGACTCTTAGACTTCAAAGCGGCACCTTCTTGACCCCTGACTCCAGTCCATTCCATCTAAAACCCCCAGCCTCCCTGTCCCCTCCTCACCTGAATTTTCCTCTGATAGATCCTATTTTCAGGATGATCCCGAAGAATTGATAGAATGTCACATTTTTCTGATATTAGGTTGAAAGATGTTTCACTCTGAAAGACAGGGAGGTAGAACTGCTGTGAAGATTTCAAAAGCACCTGACGGGGTCACCCGGCCATTACCTGGTGGATGGCCTCTGAGCTGCTAGCCTGGGCACGTGGCCAGCATCCTAGATGCCCACCTGGACTGTCACAGTGCCAGGACAGGGATGGTCGGGATCAGCAGGGTGAAGAGGTATCTCTGGTTCTGAGGAAAGTCACTTGTGACCTGCAGACTGACCCATTTTGTAAAACATAAAACCTCCAACCTGTGCCTCCATCCTGCCTGGACATKCGCTCAAACATTCCTGTACATCCAGCCCCTGCCCAGGCCACTGTCACACACACAGGGGAGAGCACCCAGGCCCCTCCACCGGGCCAGGCTCATGTCTAGGGAAAAGCCCGGAATGAGGAGGCCCCCACTGGCAGCAGGGGGAGGTCGAGAGGTGCCAGAAGGATCTGGAGATCTGGGGTCATGCAGCAGACACGGCCTCCCGGCAAAGCTCACGCTGCAGCCCAGCTAAGTCAAGGTCAAGTCTAGTCAAGATGGACTGGCTTCCCAGAGCCAGGTCTCTCCAGGGCTGAGAACTCAGCGGGCGGGGAACGGCCTTTTCCCAGGGCCAGGGAAACCACGGGAGAATCTGCTCTGCCGGCTTCCCAAGGCCTCGGGCCTCYACTCCTGCCTCCACTCCGCCCCAGATCCACCCTCACGTCACYATGAAAACACAGCAAGGGGAAGTGTTACTCAGGCCGCTCACACTTCCTGGGTCAAAGGGAGCGCTCCGGCAACCCAGGGAGACCAGTGTCACACAGGGTACCCAGCTGGAAGGCTGTACACCGTATTTCTGTAATGGAAACCCAGTACCCCACCAGCTGTGCCCCCGACCCTGACACCTAGCTGTCGCTCAGCTTGTCTCTCACTTTGGGCCTCTGACCACATGAACGTGGCCTGTCGGCCTCATGGCTGACTCAGTAACGGGCACACCCCGAAGTGCCTCTGATGTCACAAACCCTGACGCCGCTGGGAGAAGCCTTCCTGGGGTGGTGATGACTAGCCTGCCAGAGCTGCACAGCCAGGGCAACAGTGGGGCCTTGGTGACTCCTAGGGCCGCTCCTGTCCCCACAGGGACAGGCTCCAAACTTCTGAGAATGACCTTCTCTGGCCCCAATTCCTACACCCAGCATCAGACCAGGGAATAGGTGCTGGGACTGGCAAGGGTCATTGCTAGAAGGCAGGGTTGTCCCCACCTCCATGTCTCCAGTGCCACTTGGCCTCCCTTCGTCAGACTGTCTGCCTTTTCCAGTGTCCTGAGACCCAGGGCTCATCACGGGGCCTGGCACAGRGAGGGATAAGGAGTCTGTGAGTGAACAAATAAAAGCCACCCTGCGGAGCCAGCCTGGGCTCCCCTGGAACCCGCACGTGTCCCTCTTCTCCCCTCCCCCAGACTTGGGGGGTTGGAGCTCCCCAGAGGATCGGGGAGAAGCTGTCACCCCAGAGAGCAAGAGAAAGTCTTCCCAAACAGGGCCTGAGGCACAAAGGTCTGGGTGGGGGAGAGGAATCCTGAGTTCATTTCTAGAAGTTTCCATTCTATACTCTGCTCCTTTGCAAAGTCAGCCTCAGGCTCTTTGCTCCCTTCTGCCCTGACACCGAGGTGGCGCTCAGGCAGTCGCTGCAGGCTGCTGTCCCCTCAGCGGTTACCCATTTCTTCCCCACCCACAGATCCCAGTTTTCTGGCAACATGATGAGAAATGACCGGGTGGGCCATGACCACCCACCTCTCTCCCACTCATGCTCCCAGCCTCCCTGTAGCTAGCTATGGGCAGCTGTGTGACAAGGGCTGGCCAACCACACCCACACAAATYTGCGGAGGGCTTCTGAGACTGTTTCTGGTTCTGGATAAAGAGAGATGGCATGCTCTATTCCATCCTCCTCCTTCCTACTTCTAACGCAGATGCAATGTCTATTTTACAGCAGCCACCCTACGACCACGAGGTTGAAAGCTAACATATGCCATTTCTGTGCACCTACTATGAGCCAAACTCTGGAACAGAGGATACCATATCCCCATTGTGTGACTTAATGACCACAGCCATCTTGTGCAGTGAGTATTGTTGTACCCATGCTGGTGTCATGGTCTGGCGCCCTCTGCTGGGAAGTGATTGAATGCCTTGCTGTGTAACTGAAGCCTGTGGACATTCTGCTATGCCAAGCCACCAGGAAGCCAAGCGCAGAGTTCAGCAGCTCTCTGAGGAGGAAGGAGGCTGGGGCATAGGGGAATGCACCGTGCAGGGCAGGCAGGGGCCAGTCCTACTCCTGCCTGTGCCAAGTGCCCATGGGACCCCTGAAGCTCCAGTCCTCAAGCTCTCCAAGTCTCTGGGCCTTGAGTAGCTGCAAGATGACCAGCAGACAACCCTGGCGGGCAGCAGGGGACTCCACCTCACTAACAACTTGGTCACACCTTGCAAAAGGCTTAACATGAGCTGGACACGGTGGCACACGCCTRTAATCCTAGTGACTCAGGAGGCTGAGGCAAGAGGACCCTGAGTTCAAAGCTAGCCTCAGCAAAAGCAAGGCACTAAGCAACTCAGTGAGACCCTGTCTCTAAATGAAATACAGAACAGGGCTGGGGATGTGGCTCAGTGGTCGAGTGCCCCTGAGTTCAATCCCTGGTACCAAAACACAAACAAGCAAACAAACAAACAAAAGGCTTAACATAACAACTTGGGGTTCTTAACATGATGAATTAAAAAGCAGAATGACCGTACTTATCGCTGCTTGTTCCTGGACTGCCCCAGACACACAGGGACCAACACTCTGGGGAAGGGAGGCCCCAGGAGGCCCCCAAYGGCCTGTTACTTAGTATGTGGGGAGGGAGGAGCAGAGAGGAGCTCGAGGAATCAACCCTAAGTACATTGGGATGGGCGTGTCATGGCTAGAACTGCCACCTGCCACCACCTCCCCCCAACCAACGGCTCCAGGTGAAGGTGGAAGGGGCGAGGCAGGCATGGGGGAGCTTGTCCAGGTTCCCCTGCGTCAGTCGACCTGGCATTTCTGACAAACTGATGTAAGCTGTTTTAAACAGCCACACCGAGGAAGCCACTGGAAACTCGGCTCAGAGCCCTGTACACTGTTGAGGCCGGGCCACACCCAGGGCCCTGAACCCGCGGCCAGTGCAGCCTCCGCGAGGCACTTTCCCGAGTTTACGTCCTGCCTCCAGGGCCCCAGCCCCATTCCCACCCTCAGCCCTTTAGGGTCTCTGTGGCACATCTTTCAATAATTATCTTTTAAAGTCACTATGGTAAAACGTGGGTTGTGAAACGTGCCATTTAACCACGTTCAGGCGCGAAGCTTGGTGGTGCTAAGTGTGCCCACGCGATTGGGGACCAGCTCCCCATCCTTCTCCAGAAGGTCATCGTCCTCACCAGAAGCTCCATCCCCACTAAGCCCTGGCTCCCTCTTCCTCCTCCGGCAGCTGACTCTGGACAATCTGTCTTCAYGGATCTGACGGCTCTGGGGACCCCGCAGAAACAGAATGTGCTAGAGCTGCCTGTACAGGGGTGTCCTAAATTTGCATATGTTATTTTATAGACATCGAGAATCCTTTTTCTGGACTCAGTACTGTTTAAGACCCACCCAGCTGACAAAGGGCTCCAGGCTGCTCCTCCATCCCTGGGTGATGGAGCCTGGGTTGCCTCTAGCGGCCCCTAGTGGTCGAAGGTTTACTGGGACAATTAGGGGACAAGTGGGTTTCCACCCAGTATACCTCCAGGACGACCCAAGCCCCCACGCCCTCCCCACCAGCACAGCTCGAGTCACCTCCCCCTCCTGTGATACTAGAGATTCAAGCTCCAGGGAGAAACCACACACCGGAAATCGGAAATCCTAAGGATGCTCTGCGTTTGACCTTGGCTGAGGCTAATAGGTGTCTGCTTTTGAAACCCTGGCTGAACATTTCCAGGATGTTATGGAGAGAGAACAGATGGGTCATGCCCCACGCCCTGCCAGACCTCATCAGGCCACATCAAAGGATTTCAGATCTTTAATTGCTGGTTTGCAAATAGATGCTGATTAACTAAGTCAGGAGGACAGCACCTGGGCTTGGAAACAGTCTTTAGCATCTCCAGCCAGGCCTCTGGCTCACACCTCTGCCCGCAGCCGCCCCTCCCCCACATCCCTGTCTGCATGCACCTGAGGGCTACCTGAGGTCGGGCTCCCTGCCGTGCCTGTGCCACCCCCACCATCAAGCCCCCAGCTCCTGGCCAGCCCATCTTCCCCCTGGGCTGCGAGGGACAGGGCTGGCTGGCCCTGGGCTGAGTCAGCCTCCTTAACCAGGCCCTGCCTCCAGCAGCCACAGCTGGCCTCACAGCCGGCCTCACAGCCTGACCTCAAGCCACATCCCAGAAGAGGCTGGAGACTCCAGCCTCACCTGCCAGCAAGACAGGGTTCAGAACTGGGGCACCATCCCCTCTTAGAGGGTCCAGGTCAGTTCTGGAGGCCCTGGCCCTGCCTGCCTGGGGCTGGRGTCTCTGCCATGGGCTGCTCCAGGCACTAGAAGGAAATGCCCCTGGCAAACGTCTCCTTGGGGACATGATATATGACACAGGTATGCACCGAGTCCTCAAAGCTTTCATTGATGAGTGTTTGGAAGCCTCAGGTGTAAGGACAACAATCAGCCCGAGTTTCCTGTTGCTGCTACAACAAACAAGGACAAACCTGGTGACTTAAAACAACACAATTTTCTTCTCTTGCAGTTRGAGGTCAGGAGTCTAAAGTGCGTCTCACTGGGCTGCAGGTAAGACGGGAGGAGAGTGGCTCCTGCCAGGCCCGGAGRCTCTGCCGCTCTGCTGCTCCCAGMTCCTGGAAGCTGCCAGTCCCAGTGCGCCACTCCTTCTATGCATGGCTCTGGCACCTCCTTCCACCGTCACGTCTACCGACTCCAAGTCCCCTGCCCTCTTTATTCTTGTAAGGACCCTTGTGACATCACTGCACCCCCTGGATGACTTGGTGACATCTC